CCCGCATGTATGGGCATGCGAGTGGTCCTGTGGCACCAACAACGTGCGTTATGTGGTGATACGGACGAGTTGTGATTACGAGTGTCTTGGGGGATGTGACTTTGGGATTTATATTGGGGATTGTTCATGTTGGGTTATGATCATTGATTATGCTTTGCCTTATCTGCCTTATCTGTCGTGAACTGCATATGCTCGTTATAACTGTTGCTTGCGTCTGGCCTTATCTGTCGAGTCATTCCCGGTTTTTAAAGCTAGAGTTCGTAGGATATATTTTCATGCTCAAAATAGTTTTCGTATATCTATATATATCTCTATATGTATTGTATTTCAACGCGTTGGAGTGGGTTACCAGCATCTCTCGCTGAACAGATATATTTGGCTTTCAGGCACAGAAGATTAAGTCACTGGAGTGCGCTAGAACTTAGAAGTAGATAGTTTCCCTTTTGGCCTGCGTGCCACGTTTACGTATTTACGCTTTGAGGATATTAGTTAGTTAGCCTGTGCACTTGGGTTCTCTAGCCCAGGTGTGGCATAGCACCCCGAACGCTTGTATTTATATCTTGGGATTTAATAAGATTCTACCTTTATTATAAGTTTTAAATGTCTTGAAAATCTGGGGTGTTACAAGCTTAGTCGGCCAGAAGACAACCACTTAAAGAAATATAGTCAGATGGAGGAAAGTGGTCGACAAGTTGGCCATCCGCAAAGAAACGAACAGTAGAGGTTAGAAAATCACGAGCCGGCACAATTCTTCCAAATTGCTCCTACAATTACTATATTGGTGGCACGGAAAGGAGCCTACAGTATGTACGAGGCCATTGATGGGAAGGTGCTTGTGTCTCGTACGCGGCAAAGGGGAGAAGGTTTCATAAGAAAAGTATATAAAACCAAAGCCTTTGGATTATGGAAATTATCTATGTATCTACATGGAGAATTGGAGAGTTAAATTATGGAAGATTGGAGTGGCACGCATAACAAAAGGCAGCATGAATGATGGTAAGACGAATCAAGAGAAGTCAAGAGAAATGCATGACAATTTGTGTGGTAAGTAGAAAGTAAAAGTAAAATGGTAAAGACAAGCTATTGGCAGTTTTGTATGAGGCATAAAGGTTTGCATGTGGCCAACACTCGTCAGTAAATGTACTTAGAGCTATTGCGCAATGCAAAAACCATTTTGAGTATATTTTCGCAAGAGCAAAGATGCCAAATACAAGGTAAAGGGTGGAACATCTCCCCGAGGCCGGTGCGGTGGCTGATCCTGTGGTCGAGTCTTGCTCCCACGGTCGAAGGCAACGCGTGGATCCTGTGGTCGAGTCTTGCTCCCACGGTCGAGGGCAACGCGTGGCGAAGGATGGATATGCTGGACACGTGGTTCTGGATGGCTTCTAAACATTATTATAAAAGGTTATCTTCACAGGGATATTTAAGTCTTGATATGGGGTAAACTTACACCTGCCATTCCAGTGCATGTTTTTAGAATGGATATGCATGACACTAATGATGACGATCTCAAAGCCGGAGTTGTTTGATAAACAAGTCGACACATCTCCTGACTCTTAACGCTCAATCTTGACATACGTTGAATTCAATGCTATAGAGATTCAAAAATTCAATTGCGTAGGATTGGTAAAAGCCATGGAAGAAAATAAAGAGGCCAGGGCTCGACTCCTCTCGCCCCAACATTAATACTTTTTCTCATAAAAGCATGACTTTGAAATTCTTGCAGCTCGGTGGGCTATATTAAGGCGCTTCAAGGCACATGCACCGCACAACCCGAGGAAAACTTTTCCAAAATTTACTTGCTTATGGAATTTCTCATCTGCAATGGGCTATATAAAGGGAAGAGCTACAATCGAGAGTTACCTCGACAAAAGGACTCGAGTTAGCAAAGAAAAAAAAATAAAGGGTCCAAGCCCTTAGAAGTTTACTAGAAAAAGAAGAATCATAGCCAGGAGTCGCCTCGAGCAGGGACTCGGCGAGAGAAAAAGAAAAGAAACAAGGGCTATGACCCTTAGAAAAAGCCTACAGGGGTCGCCTCGACTGAGAGATCGACTCGGCAAGTATAGAGAGAAACGACGGGGCACTGACTCTAAACTGTTTCTGAGATAGAAAAAGCCTAATGGGTCGCCTCGATCGAGGGACTCGGCAAGAAAAGATAGGAAACAAGGGCACCGACCCTGAGACCCTCCTGCCCCAACATTAATACTTTTTCTCATAAAAGCATGACTTTGAAATTCTTGCAGCTCGGTGGGCTATATTAAGGCGCTTCAAGGCACATGCACCGCACAACCCGAGGAAAACTTTTCCAAAATTTACTTGCTTATGGAATTTCTCATCTACAAGGGGCTATATAAAGGGAAGAACTACAATCGAGAGTTACCTCGACAAAAGGACTCGAGTTAGCAAAGAAAAAAAATAAAGGGTCCAAGCCCTTAGAAGTTTACTAGAAAAAGAAGAATCATAGCCAGGAGTCGCCTCGAGCAGGGACTCGGCGAGAGAAAAAGAAAAGAAACAAGGGCTATGACCCTTAGAAAAAGCCTACAGGGGTCGCCTCGACTGAGAGATCGACTCGGCAAGTATAGAGAGAAACGACGGGGCACTGACCCTAAACTGTTTCTGAGATAGAAAAAGCCTAATGGGTCGCCTCGATCGAGGGACTCGGCAAGAAAAGATAGGAAACAAGGGCACCGACCCTTAGACGTTTCCGAGAAAAAGCCTACAGGGGTCGCTTCGACTGAGGGACTCGGCAAGAAAAGAGAGAAACGACGGGGCACTGACCCTAAACTGTTTCTGAGATAGAAAAAGCCTAATGGGTCACCTCAACCGAGGGACTCGGCAAGAAAAGATAGGAAACAATGGCCCAGACCCTTAGACGTTTCTGAGAAAAAGCCTACAAGGGTCGCCTCGACTGAGGGACTCGGCAAGAGAAGAGAAAGAAACAAAGGACACTATCCCTTAGACGTTTCTTAGAGAAAAAGAGAAAAGGAACAAGGGCCAGGACCTAAAAAACTGTACTTTTGTTTTAAGTTGTAAATTATGTTGCCAATGAACTCTGGTCTTCGGTGGAGGCGAACTATTGACTCTTTGTGCTTCATTAGATTAAGAAAGTTGATGGGGTCTGAACCCCGTGGGCTCGGGGCCCAAGGAAAAAATAGATAAAGCCCAGACGAAGAAGAGAAACCCAAGAAGAAAATGGAGCAAGCCCAAAAGAGATACGAGCCAAACCGAGAAGTCGGCTCGACCCGGAAGTCGGCGCGAGTAGGAGGTCGGTCTAAACTAGCCGTTAGCCCATTTACTACCCTATTTATCTACCCCACCATTCCTAACCTCCTAATTATTACCCAACTAAAAGCCATTAATCTCCATTTATTACTCATGAGAAACCCTTTAACACTCTTCCACACCATTCCATCACTCTTCCTTCTATTATTCTTGTTATATTATTAGAAACACAACACTTTGTATAGAGAATAGCCATACAACATGTACGATACACAATAAAATAGTGAAGCTTTACTAAAAGATGTATCCTCCAGCTAAAGGTTGTGTTGAACCTCCTTGGGCCCAAAGACCCTAAAACCATCAAAAGTAGTTATGAACAAATAGTGCATTATAACAAAATCAGTAATACTACAAAAAAACTATAATATAATTTATAATATAATTTATTAAAAGCATCTCCAAAAAAGATTTTTTTCTTGATTTTTTTTTTAAAAAAAAAATATGGAAGGGAGAGATAAAAAAAAATTAATTTGCAAGTAAGTGGATTTTTATGGGATCATCATGAGAGAAAAAAAATAAAAAAGAAAGATTGTTGTCATGCGTTACATAAAAAAGAAAGATAGTGGAATGAATTGATGAGAAAATGCATATTCCAACAAGCTAGTAAAGTGGAATTTCAAAAGATGATGTCATGTCTGCTTGGAATGGTTGACTGTTGGTCAATAAACTAAAGACAGAAAAAGCAGGGAAGGTAAAGACAAGTTTCAAGAGAAATTTGTTTGTAATCTGTAGCTACGGTATTACAATTTAGAAAGGCAATATTTATTTATTTTAAAGCAGAAAAAGAAGATAAAATTGGTAGGGATTGACCGATTGAGGCGAGAAAAGGCATGGAAAGTAAAGGGACATGTTTGGTTGGTTGAATGTCTTGGACAATATAATGGAAGAAGCTATCATTACAAAACTATTCTTTCCTCTTCTTCTTCTTTTTGTTTTGTTTTGTTTATATATATATATATATATATATATATATATATATATATATATATATATATATATAAAAGGGCTATATATAGGGTGAGGTATATAGGGTGGGGGTGGGGGGCAGCTACCCCCACGGTAGGTCTGCCTCTGAATATATTATAAATAATAATTTATTTATTTCAAATTAACATTAAATTTTATGCAATAAGTATTATATTTTTTTATTATAAGTAACAATCAACTATCATAGAATCGACTCCTCTCATGAATGTGAAATGATCATAGCTTTAATTTGATGCAGCAGCAAAAGCCTTTGGCAGTGATGTTATAGAAGAAGAGCTTATAGAAGTTAATGGATGGAGAGAATCAGAAAAAGAATTATATGGACCAATTGAAGGATTTATTGAACATATAAAAGAATTAGAGGAAGAAATTAAAGAAAATGAAAGACTAAGATATAGATTATTAACTTACTTATTTACATACAAAATGAATGACAATTACGAAGCTTCAACCAGTAAAATAAATAGGACAGAATGTAAGATGTTGATACTAGATTTGTGGTGTGCTGGTTGCATCTATCTGATATGATCTTCATGGATTAAGGGTAACCACGTCTTTAAGTGCAAGAATAATCTGAGAAAATTGAGGAGAGACACCTATTCCGCCAATACACGTTAGAATTCAAGATCTTTCAATCTAGAATTAGAGAAGGAATTCTCCTTTTGTAATGCCTCAATTGCAAACTCTTAAGCTCAAAAACACCAGATAAGCACAAATATCCAGCAAGGACATAGCACAAATAAAACAAAAGAGATAGAGAAAAACTTCTCTTAATGGAGAAATCAGAGTTGAGGTGTAAGAATCCACTCTAATCCAAGTATGTAAGCTGAGTAGATAAATTCTTTTGAAGAAAAATAATCTAATCTAAGCTAGAAAGCTATCTGAAAAATTAGGAAAAAGTTCTCTGCTCTCCCCTCCAAATTTAGATTTGAACAAAATAAACAACAGCTCAATACGCAAGATTGGGACCGTTAGCACGGGCGTGTGGGTGCCCGTGTGTACATACAGGCTATCTCACACCTGTGCAATGTATGTACCCAAGAACGGCCCCCTACACGGGAATGTCGATGCCCATGTGATGTCATCAAATAGAGACATCACTTAACTTGGCTCTTGAACACGATCCTGGCTTCTTCTTGATTATCTCATGATGCTCTCAATCATCTCAAAAAGAGCTCCTTAGTGCTGCACATCATCCAAAAATCTCCCTTTTCTTCACTTCCCTTGCCATTGAAGATAAAAACACCTAAAAGAAGAGAAATAATACTAATAAACCTTATGCAATGCAATAAATGGTGCAAGCTAAGCACAAACTTGGTTAAGGAATGGGGTAAAATGTGTACAAAAATACACATATCATTATGCATCATGAAAATAGTAGAAATTGATATTTATCAAACACCGGAGGAGCCCCACGCGCAACCCTCGCCCCATGGATGTGCTTGTCCCTCTTTGCTTCCTTAAACAGAAGTGAGAAACCCTCCACACTTACTATGAACAAATACGGTGACAATGGGTCTTCTCGTAGAAGTAACCTGCCCTGCCGCAACAACCTTTTAATTTGATTAATTTGAGAGTAGTTATTTCTGCAAAACCACTAGGAATTTCTTTCAAAGCTATCTGAGAAAGGACTAACTTTTCAAGGACTGGAAAATGATTACTAGTGGCTTCCCAATATTGTAGAGAACTCTGATATATCACCAAGAACTTTAATCGACGAAATCCTCCATCTTTGGGTTTCCATTTTCGATCCTAAACGGGGCTCGTCTATCGAATGAGAGGTACTCAAGCTTAGACAACTTACCAAAAACATCCATATCCTTCCATTTTAAATTTGTTTCACGTAAACTTAACTCCTTAAGATTTGGCCAAAAATTCTCTAGGCTTAGCATCCCCATAGAATAAATAGTTTTAAACTCCGGAAGTACGAATAGTTTTTCCACTTTATATAAATAGACAAGACTTTCAAACCAATAGGGAGGTAATCAAAGTCACTTTTTGTGTACAGCGCAAAACATGTTTGCCGTTTCTTTACATTAAATGAAATGACACTGTTTTAATGCCTGGACCACAATACATCATGGACTACAGTCCACGGTATAATTTGCCAAAATTTTCACTTTGGTCTTTCTTTCTTTTCCTGTGAAACAACACTGGACCCCTTCCTTTTTTTTTTTTTTTCTTTCTTTCTCCACCACCAACTCCACTTTCTTTCTCTTATTTCTTTCCTTTCGTTGTCTTTTTCTTTTTGCTTTTACTTTATTCTTTTCCTAATTATTTCTCCTTTTGCCACCAACTTCTTTCCATTTCCCATCTCGTGTTTATTTTCAGTCTTTAAAATCTTTAATTTTTAATTAGTATTTGTAGGTATAGTCGTTGGTGAGAAGATTTGATCAACCACACAAATTATAAACCATTTATGATCGAGCAGGTGCATCTTGCAAGGAGACCTTAGAATTGGAAGTGTTATAGAAGTTAACGTTAGGTCAGGATTTACAGCAACTACAAGCAAGGAAAGATTAGAGCTCCTAGATGATAATGAACATATCTTTAGCATGATGATTGTTGGTGGCGATCACAGGCTAAAGGTATGAATCCGTAAACATGGTGAGTGAAAATTTTGATTTGGACTTTTGATATTCAAATAGACTAGACCACATGACTGAATAAAAAAAAAAAAAAAAGTCAATAGAAATTACTTATTATAGGATGTCATTTGGGAACTTTGGGGCAATAGAAACATTTTGTTTTATAACTTTGGTGTTCATTACTTTGACTTGTATAATGCTGCCTATAATATCAACCTAATATGGCTCATAGTTTGAGTACATAATAATAAAAATTAATATTAATATAATAATAATAATAAGTAACTGTTTCAATAAAACGGTAAACATAATAATAATAATGATGATGATGTGATGTTTTTTTTTTTTTTTGAAAGTTACTGACTCTATTACATTGTAGTATCTGTTCATATACTTTCTCAACCTACTGAAACACAAAGAACCAATAACACCTCCACTGAGGCTCAAACTTATAATCTTCCAAATGGAAGTCCAACCCGGATACCATTGGACCACATAGTCCTGGTGATGTGATGTTATTCAATAACTATTTTAATTAAACAGTAAACAAGGGTGTAGGGGGCCCTTAGGGAATAAAATGGTAAACATATAAAGAATAAAAGGAAGGGGAAAAACAGGCATACACACTACTAGTAGTGGAAATCGATGACAAGACCTCAAGAATAAATTACACTATTTAAGCACATCACTCCATTTCTCCATTTAAAGACATTGATTTTGCCTTTCTCCAACATTTTTGAGAAAGGTGGAGAAATGAAATGAAAATACGATTTGAAGAAAGAAATTTAGTAAACAACTTTTCATTTTTCATTTTTCATTTTTCTACCGCTTCATTTTTCTACTTTTTGGAACATCTTCTATTTCTCCATTTTGGTAAACAACCACTCAGAATAACCGCATTTATTCCCCACCATGTGTTTAACCCCCCCACCCCCCACCCCCCCCCCACCAAAAAAAAAAAAAAAAAAAAAAATCTAAACGAAAGGCTAAATTTTATTTTTAAAATTTTCAATTTTAATAATTTTTGGTATATATAGTATTTAAAATTTATTTTCAAATTTTTTATGTGGTTATTTAAATTTATTTTTATTTAAAATCAAAATTATAAATATAAAATTGAAATTATTAATTATATAAAAATTAATAAAATAATAGATGATGTATAAGAGTTTGAATGAGTATGGCCCAAAAATGAAGAAATGGGGGAAAGATTGGAGAGAAAATATGAGAATAGATTATAAGGTGACGGGGGAGTTGGGGCCACAATTTGGGGAGAAAAGGGAATAACATTGTGATGTTGTACTTTCATTATTCAAATAATGTATTTTCTATGAATACAATGTACATTTTTAATATAATAAAAATACATTATTTGTGTACTAAATGTACATTATTTAATAATACACAAAATAATGTAATTTCCATTAATTTAAGGTAAATTCTTAATATACTAAAAGAACATTATTTGATAGTATACAAAATAATGTAATTTTAATAATCAAATGATATACTTTTTATTTGAAAAAATTAGCTGTTTAGATTAACATGTAAAATGACTTAAGGGTATACATATATTTAATAATAATAATAATAATTGTTTAATATATATATATATATATATATATATATATATATATATATATATATATATATATATATATATATATATATATAATTAAGTCAATCCAATCATATTAACTACTTGGGGGTTTATTCACAAAAAGAGTATTCAAATCACACAACAAATTGAAGTGGGAAACTACCTTGCATTGTTTAGCAATCAGCAGTTAGCTATTCAATATTAGTATATATTTAATATTTTATACCCTAATTTTTATTTGCTCTCCCTTATATCCCGTATTTGGTTTCAACCATACCTATAAAATTATTTTATTGACAATTATAATCAATCTTGACTATATTATCTTGCATTTGTAAACTTAGAATTACATATTTAAACACGCAAATTCAACATTCAATTATCTATGCATGAACAATTCTAATATAATCTTGCCATGATATACTTTAAAGTGTTTATTTTGAAAAAAAAAAACATTGGGCATTATACCAATCGCGCAATGCGCGTAAAAAACTAGTATGTGTGTGTGTGTGTGTGTGTGTGTGTGTGTGTGTGTGTGTGTGTGTGTGACTATTAAAAATGTGACTGTGTTTAGTGGATTGGACGCCTCGGTGATCGTCCCCCAGATGTAGATACACACTGTATCGAACTGGGTAAACATCATATGTGTTGATTTATTTTCTGCTTTAATCTTCCGCTTTAAACTAATCTGCTTTCCAACTGAATGAATGGTTAATTAAGTCTCTGAGTCAGTCAGTTCAGTATTCCAGTTGCTAGAAAACTAAATCGATATTCTTATACTGAGGATATGCAAAATTACATGTGGTATCAGAGCTTTTAAGCCTACATAGTGACTTGATCCTTACGGGAAGAATTTTTTTTTTTTTTTTTTTTTGCATTTTTCTCTATTTAAGAAGCTGTTTACTTGGTTGTCTGTTGGCTGTTAGACTGCTCTTTGCGTGTGTGTTCTGGCTGGTTGTCTGTTTTGATTCAGGATGGATGCAAGTATGAAACCACCAGAATTGGATGGTCACAACTATTCATTCTGGAAGGCTCGAATGGAGATTTATCTTCAAGCACGAGGCACCAGAGTTTATCGTACTGTCCTCACTAGATGGAGTCCTCCGACAGTTCAGAATGCTGATGGATCTGCTGAGGTCAAACCAATGGAGACATGGACTGAAGATGAGATGTCGTCCTCTGATCTGAATAATAAAGCATTGAATTCTATTGTAGGATCTCTACATGAATCAGTCTTTACCTTGGTTACAGGGATAAAAGAGGCAAAACGTGTATGGGAAATTCTTGAAACTAGATTTGAGGGTACCAGTGATGTCAAACAGTCAAAGCTTCAGATGGTTCTATCAGAGTTCGAAGCCCTCAGGATGAGTGAAGAAGAAACTATCTCTAACTTCCATTGTCTTGTTTAGAATTTGATGAAAAGAGCTTCAGTACTTAGTGAACCATTTACTGATGAAAGAGTTGTCAAGAAGATCCTTCGCTCTCTGCCCAAACGATTCCGAATGAAAGTGACTGCAATTCAAGAAAACACAGGCTGTGAGAAGAAGAGTGTGGGAGAGCTTATGGGTAATCTACATACTTATGAACTTCAAGTGCTGGCTGATGACGATCTTGCAGTAAGCAGAAAAAGCAAATCAGTGGCTTTTGTTGCTGAAGCTGATAGAGAATCTGACACAGATGACATAGATGATGAAGCCTTAGCTTTGTTAACAAAAAATTTCAAGAAAATACTGAAAGGTTTCAATCGAAGATGTCAATGACAACCTAACAAGACACAGTACAAAAGTAGAAACTCTTCACATCAGAAATCAGAACCGTCCTCCTTCACAAAGAATAGTCAGTCCCAGACTAGGCGAATAGGGCAATTCAGAAGTACACCTACTGACACAGTTAGAACTCTAAATCGGTTAGTGCAGTGTCGAGAGTGTGAAGGGTTTGGACATATACAATCTGAATGTGCAACATATCTCATAAGGAAGAAATCTATGTTAGTGTCTACCCTAAGTGATGATGAAGAGGAAACAATAGATGACCCGTCTGATGAAAATGTTGGAAACTTCGTAGCCTTCTTCATAGCTACAGAGGATCACTCAGAAGAAGATGAAACTGATGGAGAATCGTACATATCATCAGATGATTTTGAAGAGAGACATGTTCAGCTAGAGATGACATTTGCTAAACTGGTTGGCAGTTGCGAACAACTGGTGAAAATCAACAAGAATCTGAATGAAGATCTGAAACACAAAGATGAACTATTGAAGAAACTAAACACTTAATTAGTCACAAAAAAAAAGATCTAATTGCTCAGATAAGATCTCGAGAGGGAAAGCTGATAAAAGAACTGGAGGATCTGAAGAAAACCATCAATACGCTGGATACCACATCTACCTTAGACAAAATTCTGGATTCTGGTCGAAATCCTAATGATAAAAAGGGACTTGGATTTGAATGAGGACAGTCCTCAATGTCAGCTCCTGTGTTTATCAAAGAAGGTACATCTGGTGGTGGCTCAGTTCTCTGTCATAAACTAGGTCAATCATCAAGTTCAACTCAGTTCACTCAGAAATGAAGCATGCACACTCTGATTACTGAAGTTGAATCTAGCAGAGTCAAATTTCAGTCTCAGCACTCAAAGTTCAAGCCTAAGTTTGTTAAAGTTAGACAGTACGTACCCATCTGTCACTACTGTCTAACAAAAGGGCACACCAGACCTGAATGCTACTTCTTCTACATAGATCAGAGTAAGGAGAAATATCCGAATAAGCTAAGTCTATTACTCCTTTCACGAGGCAGGTTTGGGTCAGGAAATCAGAAGTAATCTGCTATCCCACAATTGTTCTTACCGCCTCTATGACTGAAGCAAGATGGTACTTCGACAATGGCTGCTCCAGACATATGACTGGGAATGTCAAGTATCTCATGACCGTTCAACCTAGCAGTGGATCAGTGACGTATGGGGACGGACAAAAGGGAACGATAGTTGGTAAATGTACCTTAAATGTTCCAGGATTGCCATATCTGGACGAAGTTCTCTTAGTCAGTGGCGTGAAAGCAAATCTTATTAGCATCAGTCAGCTGTGTGATCAGAATTGGAATGTGTGTTTCAACTGAGACTGCTGCAGAGTCCGTGATAAGGCAGATCAAGTGGTAATGGAAGGAACTCGCTCTTCTGACAATTGCTATGTTTTAACAAATGAAACTACCTGTCTAATATCAAAAGCAGATGAACCAAAACTGTGGCATCGGCGTTTGGGACACATAAATTTTAGAGATATGGACAAAGTGATCAAACTTGAAGCTGTTCGAGGGATACCAAAGCTCAAAATAGAACAGGAAGGAGTTTGTGGTGCATATGCTATTGGAAAACAAATCAGGGCCCCTCACAAAGTAGTAAAGATGATTACTATTGAGAGATATCTAGAACTGGTTCATATAGACCTTATGGGACCAACTCAGATTGAAAGCATTGGAGGAAAGAAATACATATTTGTGTGTGTGTACGATTTCTCCCGGTTCAGTTGGGTATATTTTCTAAGAGAAAAGTCCAAGGCGTTTAATGCCTTCAAAACTCTGTGCATCAGAATACAAAAAGAAAAGGACGAGCCCATTGTAAAAATCCAAAGGTTGAGAAGTGATCATGGAAAAGAGTTTGAGAACTCCTTATACTCAGAATTCTGTTCAGAAAATGGGATAGCTCATGAATTCTCCGCTCCACGAACAGCACAACTTTCAAAATCAGAGAAGTCACCCAACTTCTTGCATCCTCTTCTGTCCACGTGTCTGAAACCAGCAATTCTATATCTCCAAGTCCTACAAAGAGCTCCCCTGTCAGAGAAAGGCGAAAGTCCAAAAGAAAAGGAGTTCCAGAAAGAGTTGATGTGGTTGCCAGTGATGCACCTACCGAATCCACTCAACCTGAAAAGAGAAGAAGGTCGGACGATTCTAAGAAGGCTGAAAGTGACCCACTGGTCAGACAAGTGTTTAAGACTCTGAGGTCGTCTGTTAAAAATAAGGCTCCTACAGTTGTTCCTTCCACAACAACCAGAAAGATGAAAGTTACTACAAGGCGAAGGAGTGTTACTCCTGATGTACAGAATGTTTCTGACAGTCCTGATACCTCTATTTACAAGCCACAGTTTGTCTCTGCAACTGCTCAAGACAAGTGGTCTACAATGGTGAGACGAGAGCTAATAGTCCAGAGATCTGTTGATGAGGATCAATTGAATTCAGTCTATGATATTTTGCCTCTGTTGAGTGAGGGTGGCCTGCTGAAGACAGTAACATCCATTTGCCCTTTCTCAAAGTTGCTAACCTACGAGTTCTACTGCAACCTGAATGAGGAGATTGATAACCTTACTAGTACAAGGTGCCAACAAATTTTTATTAGGGGACAGTGGTATGTGTTCGGACCAGACATGATCAATGAGTACTATGGGTTGAAGACGGTTGAGGAAGAAGAAATTTCTGACTGGGATTTGGTTGCAAAGACACTCACTGGCGAACTGACTCCAGTTTGGCCAACAGATGATACTGATACCTTGTCAAGCTCAGAATTTACCTCCAAGTTTGTTATTTTGAACCGCATTGCTTTGCACAACTGATTTCCATCAGCACACTTTCATATTGTTGGAAAGCAACTAGCTGCTCTTCTGTTTAGAATCGACACCAAGATGACAGTTGATCTGGGGAGATGGATCTTCTATCATATTCTCACCATGATACATCCCAGGGAACAGAAGGTAAGACTTCCGTATCCTAATCTCATCTTTGGAATATTAACTTCACAAGGCCTGGTTCCAATGCAAAGTGAGATCATTACTCCGTCTCTGCTGTATACGATCGATGCAAATGACACTATTTACAAATATTTTACCTTGATTTTCTACGTAGTTTCCTTTTTTTCTCATCTCATTCCTAACTTATTTGTCGCTATAGATAAAGCTTTTTTAATTAATGAAACCAAGATATCTACTAGAACAGGTATTATCATTAGGCTGAATAAAGCTTAAAGCCTAAATTGGTCCACCATATAAACTAAACATCATTCTAAGGCATGATTTTATAATAATTCTAATAAGAGAATCAGCAAAAATATTACAAATGCAATTGGCCGGGGGTGGGATTTTTAGTCCCAATAAATATTCAAAATGACGTTTCAATACAGTGGACTTCTGGTCCTAAAAATAAATCCTTTTATGTTTAAATGGGTCATTTATCTTTCTCGATATATTGGACAGCAATTAATATACCAAAAGAACGAAGTATATATATATATATATATATATAAAAGGTATTTAGGACATTTTACATACCATCTCTAGTCATGTACATATTTTGTCATGTTTCAGGCATGTGATAATACATCTTTTAATTTTTTAGAAGGAAAATACTTAAATAATTATTGACTATAGAAGAAACATATTATTTTTACACTCTTCACGTTGCGATTTTTGCTTATAGCATTTCGAGAATTTAAATCCATCTAGGATTTTTTTAAAACAAGTATATATAGGCAACCCATATAAATATGTGGTGACTGTGTTATTAGCTACATATCTAATTATATTATTTGTTGCTAGTTTATTAAACAGCGCAACATAATATCATGGAAGGATATTATTTTATTATGATCATTATTGGGTCTCTATGTAAAACCCTATCAACTCGCTTTATGTTTCACCACATGTCTTTTCATGACATCTTTGGTGTATCTACTTCTTTTAGCAAGTTGAATTGTATGTCTTCATTACTTTTTCTTTTTCATCAAATAGTTTGCACGCTTCAGGCGTTATATTACTGTTGTAGCTTTTGGATCTAGATTTAAACAATATGAACAATTATAGATGCAAAATATGTTGTCAACAACTGTAATAGATTTATTTATAAATATCTTCCATGGCAATATCAACCAAATATATGTCATTTCCCAAAAAAAAATTATTTGAATTTGGTTGTTCCACTGCCCGAATATTATTTTGTGCACCTATAGTTTTATTGAGGGTTTTTGCCTTCGAGGCGAGAAAAAAAAATATTTAGGATAAAAATTTTATTTTTTAGGAGTGACGGAATTTCTATATTAGATATAGTTTTTGAAAATCCTTAAACTGATAAATTCCCTATGCTTATGGCATAAAGGAAAAACGGTAGAGATATTAGTCCTAGTTGAGATTTTAACTCTTAATATATATGAAATGGACTTTTAGTCACTCCTTGATGTTTTTAGCAGATTGTTTGTTATTTCTAAACTTCTAGTTTAGTATAAATTATTACATGGGTTTGAAGATCTTGAAATTTTCTCGGCATTCTATTAACACTACAAGAAAATTGATCATTAGTGAGAGGTAAAACCGTCACTAAAAAATCAAAAATCATCATAAAAGACTTTTAATGACAGAAAATTTACCGTCACCACCCGTCGTTATTTCTTCCGAGGTTAAAAACAAATAGTGACGGGATATGAGACCATCAATAATAAACATATAGTGATAGTGTATTTACCGTCACTAAAACGTTCTTTTTGTGATGGAAAATCCCGTCATTAATATTACTATTTATTCCTCATTATATTAGATTTTGCCCGTCACTAAAAATAATAATTTAGTGTCAAATATTATTTTTATAATATTGTATATATTGTTACTTTTAATTAAATATTAATTTTTGTAATACATTTTTTTCTCACTAATCGATATTATGTTATGTTGTAACTACAAATATTGTATTGGTAAAAATTATAATGCAATTAAAATAAACTCAATCAATATATTAAAAGACTTTATCATCACTACCAAAATGAAATGTTTCATACAAGTTTGTAAAGACTAATATAAAAACAAAGAAACTAATTATAACAAATAGTCATAGTAATGTATCTACGGGTTATTTTGCCTCAAGTCTTTTGCATTTGAACTAATTTTACCTCAAGTCTTGCAAGAACAGTGGTGCAGTCAAACAGTCAAACCCCTGCTTATCAATTATCGTATCACTTCCAGCTTCAAAATCACAAGCCTCTGTCTTTCAACTGCCAATAAAACCCCAATATGTTTTAGTATAATCTTAAGACATTGAACAGATTAAGTGGAAGGTAAAAATCTCTGGAAGACATTGAGCTTATTAAAGTCTCCAAATCCCTAGAAAAAGAAATAATGTGACATGTCACATGTTTAGAGACTGAGATATCCACTATGTTTTTTTTTTTCTTTTGAAATCCACTATGTTTAGTAGAACAAAAACAGTCATAATATTCTTCTATCTAACAAAGTATAAACAGTTCATGATATGATATGGCAAGTGTTTTTTTTATACATATTAATACTCAACATACTCAAGAACATTTCAAGAAAAGTGAGATAGAAAGAAAGAAATAGGCCAGGCAAGGCATCTAATACAAGTGAAATTTATCAGTAAACTCACCACTTCAGCAAGACTTGCACCTTCATGAAGTCCTATGCTCTTGATCTCATGCTGGGCCGCTTTAGCAAAAGGAAAAACAGCTGGATCAAGGTCCTGCCTCTCTTCTGTGATAAGACCCTGCATCAGCACCCATAGTCTCTCAAATAAACAGAAGAAAAAACAAATATCAAAAAAAAAAATGGGCAAGCATGACAAAAATGGCATACTGTCACATTCATTTTTTTATTTGCTGTCTTTGACTTTTTACTAATCTCTGATTACTTATATAATTATGTTTTACATTATGACAAAATGAAGAATATTACCTTTTGGAAGTTTAAGAAATTTCATATAGTATTCATAGTATGCAAAGAGCTCAAAGCATCAATACATTTACAGATATAGAACACATGCTATATAAGTAGATTATTACGTTCTTATCCAAAACAAAAAAGTGGGGATTCGCTGATGGCCCTGACATTCTCGAAACAGCCTGCACATGATTGCCATCACATGATCAATCGAAAAAGTCTGGTGTCTTTTAGGATTGCCATCACATGATCATTTCTGATATTCGTATGTTAGTGTCGCCTCGCATAATTTGTCATATTGACAGAAGAGGCCAAAAATCCTGCAGTAGGATTTCTAAAAAAAATATCGCATATGGACATACAAAAAATTATGGCAAAACTACAAGCTATAATAACCACTTACAGGCCGTTTGGTTGAAGGGAATTTAAATTCTCTTCCCACCTAATTTCAAAGGCTATAAAATTTCCTTGTTTGGTTGAAAGAAATTGCAATTCCATGAAATTACACTTCCCCCATTTTCATGGAATTAAAATCCCATGTCCCCCCCTCCCCGGGATTTTAATTCCTGGGATTTTAGGAAGAAAAAAAAATAGTGATGAGTCAAAATTACTCCTCTCTTTATTTAACTTAAAATTAATGTCTGCCAACAACAATGAACATTTTGGACTTTGTACTACTTATTCCCTTTCAATTCCCATGTATACCAAACATTGGAATTGAAATTCCCAGTAATTCTATTCCTGTAAACCAAACACTGAAATTTAAATTCTCACTTTATTCCCAGTAATTCATCTTCCATGGAATTGCAATTCATTTCCCACGTAATTCCTTCTCTCCAACCAAACGCCCTGTTAATGTTAAAGTACAATAGGGGAGATTAAAACATTTGCAAAAGTTGCATGTCCTTGATATATTACCATAATTTAGATAGCACATTATTACCATTAAAAAATAGTAAGTTTATGGTAATAATTATCTAAAAGTAACGGAAAATATGTATTAGGCAGTTAGTATCACCATCAAATGCAAGTTCAACAAATAGCAAATGTTCAAAATCATAATAATAAAATGAATACCTGCCAATGTGCCTTCGATATGTTGTGTTTGTAGCTCGTACCATTACCATGCAAATTAGTTGTGCTACCACAATGCAAGGCAATAGGTAAAGTCTCACGATTACCAACAACAAACGAATCATTAGCCAAGGCAACATTATTAGAATTACCACTTTTTGTAATTATCCATACCACTTCTTTGTTAATCATACACCCTTAGCCCACTACAAACTTAATAAAGACCTATTTGATCTTAGCTTGCATTCTTAGAGTTGAGCTAGTGGGAGTATGAAGGGCAAGCCTATTGGAAAAAATAGCATTAAAATGGCATAAAATGACATATTAAGTGGCTATTTTGTGGTACAATTATCAGTGGAGTCCACTTCCGATTTGGATCGGGTCAAAGTGGATTCGGGTTCTTCGTAGTGAGACGAAGAGATTGATATATTGTACGCTCAAAACGGATAATGGGTGAATGAGATATTGATTCTCAAAGTAGACCCATTGAGTTGGAAAAATGTAAGGGAAAAGTGAGCTTTGTCCCACATTGATTTGGAAAGAGGATTTCACCCCCCTTTTATACAAGAGCTTTTTTAGAGCTTGTAGAATTGTATAGCATAGAGGCTCTCTCGCGCGGGGGGGGGGGGGGGGGGGGGTTGGGGGGTGCAAATCAAATTCCAACTAGACGAGATTGAAAAAGGCTTGATTCAAGCCCGAGCTCGTGTGCGCCGGCACCTGGTGGCACGAATGTCGTCCGGAAATTGGCTGATCTCTCGTGCGCTGTCATGAGGTTACACGAGAGTTCAGTCTCGTGTGCACTGAAGCACGAACTTTCGTGCATCCCGAAAGTAACTGAGCTGAAACAGCGCAGACCATTTGTTGGTTCTGGACTGTTACAGGATTAATCTTGTATTAATTCCACCTTTTCAACTCCTATATAAGAAGAGTGTAGGAGCAGCAGGTTTACACAGAGAGATATAAGAAGAGTGTAGGAGCAGCAGGTTTACACAGAGAGAGAACAACACACACAACACAGAAAATTCTGTTTTTCCCAGCTCCAAAACTCTGCTCCTACTCCTTTCTTGCTACTGTGTTTTGCCCGTGCTCTAGTTCGCCGGGTTCGTTCGTTTGGGTGCTCAAACGTCGAACCGTTGTACGTTTTATCTTGGGAAACCTAGGCCACAACGCTCCTAGCACTTTTGGGAGGTGGCAAATAAGGTTTTAAGGAAAGAAAGGCACTCGCCTAACTCGTACATTTCTCTCTTCCTTCTTCTTCTTTCTTGTTTTGGATTATGCTTTTAAGCAAAAATCCGTTCTCCCTCTTTTGATATATTAGTTGGATTGGACTTATAATCCGAGGATTATTAGTTTCAATTTTGGTTAATATATATTGGTATATATTTTCCGTAGATATACATGTATATATAACCTTTGGATCCGTTTATATATATTTGTGTGTATATATATATATATTTCGGATAAATATCCAATAATATTTTATATACTAGTGTGTGTATATATAAATATTATTTTTGGGATATTAAATCGATTGTTGTTCATTATCTCCAACAAAGCCTATGGGATCTCATTCATGAGCCGTGTTTTGCATAATCTCAACATAGAATTTGTGCATACTTGACCCTCACGTACTTTAATAATTTTTTGTGCTTGGTTATTGACTTGAGAATGGGTCTTATGTGCCAAACTGAGATGACTTTTGAAGTTTGATGTTTTGTTGCATGTTGGTTGGTGGTATGAAAGGTTGTGCAAGAGAGAGTAGGAATAATTTGTATGCTTGACTTGTGATTTATTCCTTGGTTTTACTTGAGGACAAGCAAAAGTTTAAGTGTGGGGGAGTTTGATGTGAGCTTAATTGTACATATTTATAGTGTTGGTTTGAATATATTTGTTGGGTTTAAGTTCATTTAATTGTTACTTTCATTGCATATTCCCTTGTTTTCTCATTAGGATATGATTTTATACTTGATTTGAATGTTTTACGGTATTTGTTAGTGTTTTGGAACCATTGTAGATCAATTGCAAAAGCAAGGAAAGTTTTAGGATGAGTTTGGAGCCAAAACAAAGTCAATGTGAAGCTAAGGAGGTGGCTAAAATGCTTCAAACAGAGCCAAAGAGTGGTACTTTCAATGGATTTGATCACAAGAACAACACAAGGAAAAAGTGGAGCAAAAGACCAAAGAGTTGTAATTCCCATTGAATTTGACGACACTTGAGTATTTTGATCATCTCACTCTAAGAATGTCCGATTTAGGTGATTATTGAACCATTGGAAATAAGACTCAAAGGGCTACAACCTATGACTCAGAGAAAGACTCAACACATCGAAAATTTTCAGTGAAGTTTCATCACTTTTCAAAAGAGCAAGATTCTCGCATAGATTCACGACCGTTTGATTTTTGGACCATATATCATCTTAGGAATATCCAAATGAAGTGATTATTGAGCCATTGGAAAGAATACTCGAAGGGATATAACTCTTATAAAGACATAAAAGTCTATATCAAAAGGAAAAAGGGTCAAAATAAGCCTTCTAATCGGACCTACGTCACTGGGCAAGATTTTGGAAAGTTGTGTGGAAGTTTCCAAATCTATTCCTATTGAGCTTCAACTATAAAAAACTCATCTTTATTCAACCCTAGGGCATTATGCTCAGTTTGGAGGCAAGAAAGAAGAGAATCAAGAGCCACAAATTTTCTTGGGAAGCAAGAAGAAAGCTAGGGAGATTTGGGAGAATCGTTTGGTTTAATTCTTGTACTCTCTTGATTATTTGTAAACTCTTAATTATTACTTTGTATTGCATATTAGCTATGTGTGGCTAATTTACTTTAGAGATTCTCGGGTGAAAAGTATTTATAAACCTTTGTGCCTAGTTCTTTAATGCTTTAATATATTACTAGTATTTGTCCCGTGCAATGTACAGAAAATATGTTATAAAAATATACACTATATGAGGTTTATTCATATATAACAATTTTGTTATTTAATAATTATTATGTGTGAATTCCTATGATAAAATTATGAACATAAATATATTTACAATTAAAATAATATTTAAGGTGGGTGATTACTACAAATCTTAAACTATATTAAAAATTTAGTACATAGTATTTAATATTATAAATTTTTAAGAACTTAGTAAACTACAATAGTAATTGAATTACAATTTTAGAGTCACCAAGGATCAAAATTTTTAGACCTTTGAGATTTCTAACTCTAGATGTAGCAACATACAATTGACCTTTAAAGACCAAAATCACAATCTTAGTTACAACATTGATATTTTTTTTCTTCCAAATACTATCGAATTAAGTGTGTAATCAATAAAAGATGAGAACTAATAATTCGAGAATATAATCTTAATGTTACTAAGCCTACTTCACGTCAATTAAGTTGGAGAGTGTTGTTGGATATTATCCGATTAATCCACGAATAACGCATCTTTGTCTCCGTAGTCATCAATATGCACATCAACAATCTTAAATATTAAGCCACATAGCTATGCTATATATTAATTTCAAACTTATGGACTTTGGGGTTGCATGCATGCTTCTTAAAGCCATATGCCTTTAAGATGTGAAAATTAAATGTTGCATTTAATTTTCACAAGACTTTCACATCTTAAAGCAATATGGTCTTGTGAAAATTAAATGCAACATTCAATTTTCACAAGACCATATAGCTTTATTATATATAGGATTATTTGGGTTTTAACTTGTGTTGCAATTGTGTTTTATATTGTTGTTGCTAGTAGTTAATGGCCGTAAGTACTTGTTTCATAGCTTTCTTTGTCTCACAACGGGAGTTGGGCATAATTTAGGACACAGACAATTGCACTTAACTATTGCACCTTGGGAGAGAGCAAATATGTTATGGTGTTTAATTCTTGACTGTTGCACATCGGGAGATGGTAGTAATTAAGATTTAATTATGAATGTTTGTTCTTATATTGTTGGATGTTTATATCACGGGAGTGAATATTCACATAGGATAGAGATTACGGGAGTAACTCTTTCTACCAGTTGCATTCTCACACTTGTTAAACTCAAATTTTAATATTGTTCTTAAGATTGGCACTATGTGATTAAATACTTAAATCCATAAATCTCATTC